ACATTCCAGTCGATATGGGGGGCGTTAAAGTCTCCCATGACCATGACATCGGTCATTCGTTGGAAGTCCACTATCTGCAGTGTTCAGAGATCCGTTTACGTTATTTTTATCTCGTGCAGAGCCTATTCAACAAAATGGAAGACTGTTAACTTATTCAGAAAGAAGTATTCGTAAGACAGTCGTATAATGGTTTTATGGAACGCGCGACAGCTACGGCGGCCCAAGAACAGGGCGGGACACTGCCCATAAGGTAAGACAATTTGATTTATGTCATTATAAAATCTACTGAGTTCCGTCACGAGAACTCTGATTCCGATACTTATTTAAAATGGACCTTTAGTACTGCCTGCCGGCATCATTTGTGACTACTTAATTGATATAAATTCCTCCCAATTATATTTAAATTTCGGATAAGTATTTTTTTAGATTTCTTTAGTTACTTATTTAATAAGGGCCTTTAGTGCTGCCTGTCCGTACACTCCATACAATACAAAAATTAATCTGAAGACTTTTTTTACATTTATGAACTTTTAATTGAATAGATCAAATTCCTTAAAATGAAGTATATGTAATTATTCTAGGACTGCCTGTGAATGAGTCATTATGAGCTGCATTATCTTTACATGCGAACATTTACTAAACTGTCGTTTAAATTTTAGAATCGGCCAAAGGCCCAAGATCAACGGCACAGCCGCCCTGATTTCCTTGATTCTCACTGACTTCTGTACATAGACTTATTGATTTTGTTCACCATATACATGTTTACTGGTAATAAGAACATCTCTATTTAACGGTTATCCCTTGTTTTTTTTCTAAGAGATACTGCATGGGGATTGTTTGCTGCGCTCGAGTGCATGAACTTCTCATATCGCAAAAGATAAAGCAACTTCCCCCCCATACTGAACACAATGTTGTTGCCGACACGCACTTTGAATTAGCTTATAATTCTACCGGGTGATTTGAAATTTCTAGATGTTCTCGCGGCGGGCTAACGCCTTTTCCAACCGTTTAATGTGGCGTCCGTCTGCGCTATATGTTAAGCCTTTTAAAAAGTTCTACGTATAATGCAGACGAATGTCCCATTGCCCAAATGGATATAAAATGTGACTGAGCTGCCCTTCGTGCACTTGCAGCATGCTGCTTGTATACTAGCCGTACGGCTACGTATATCGGTTACCAGTTGCCATGATAGCATAGCAATTCCATTGACAATTTTAGCCAGCATTGACTAGAACGTTAGCTAGGTTATGTTCTAGAAAGATTAGGAAATGCCATTATCTGACTAGCTGAGACGGCAGTTCGTATTCGAATTCGTCATATGGTGAGTTAAAAAGTAACCATGAGGGATGCAGTCGTCTTTATAAACAAAATAACTCACGCACGTCACTCACAGGAAGTAGCGGTAAAACTACACCTAGTCGCTGCAGCATACCACCAGAGAAAGCAAAACACGACTGGCCGTATAAATAGTATGCAACAGCCTATGTAATACAGGCATTTCGGTCGTTTAAAATCGATACTTCGTTCTTTTTCGCTGAACTAAAGCTGTTTGCCGCTTGGCGTCGCTTGCAGTTGTGTGTACTTTGCGATAGAGTCTTAAGTTGACTGTAAGGAAAGGACGCACCTAATCGTCTTCTGCAGCGTTTGGATTAATGCGTTTTGACTTAGAAGGAATATGGTGAAGAGAACCTACCACGCCAATCGGCCTAGACCTGAATTCAA